TCCCAGTCAAACTCCCACAGGGACAATTTGCATATAAGCCTTTTAAATATATAGATATGATTTAAATGATTTAACCCTCATTTAGCTTTATGTGCTTTTTTGGTTCATTAATTGATGTCATATTTTTAATCATATATGATACCTATTAACTAAACAAAAAAGAGCACATAAAACTAAATGAGGGTTAACGTGACAGTAAAAGCAAGCCTAGATTGGGATGATCTATTGAATATAAAAGACATTCAATTAAAAAAATTAGAAAAGCAACTGCTTTTAAGGTAAGGAATGCTTATTGATAGGGTTATTTTAATTTTGTATGTTCACAGAGGATGTTTGGGTACTGCTTGTATGATACTTTAGTTTATCTAGAAAATCGCTAAGAAATCTTAACAGTTCTGTGCACACAGGTTTACATAGTTTAAACATATTTTTAAATCTATAATAAAGCTTTAGAATGGTTCTTAAAAGTGTACTTGCACCCTCGTTTAAACCATCTAATGTACTGTGTCCCTGTCAATTATTTCTCTTGTGATTAGAGAGATGGCAGAGTTGTAATTTGTTTCAAGGTTTGAACCTTGGTTTGGTCACTCAGTTTTGCTGTTCTTCCTCTTTCTTTACCCAAGCTAACACTAAAATGTCTCCATTTTTCCTGTTATTTAAAAAAGAGTAATAAAAGGAACTACAGATTTGAACATTTTGGCATATTGATGAGCTTCTTTCATAGATATTTGTATTTTCCTGTCCTTTTGGTTTGCATATTTGGAATAAATAGGAGTAAATAAATTAAAACGTGGCAGTAGATTTAATATGAAATTTGTTTTAGTTGGTCATTTATGTATATTCAGATATGATTTTTTAAAATCACATTAAGTCAAATTACACATTCTTAGCTGTGCCATCTATAGAAATAGGCTTGTGTTCTCTGGCCTAATGCTAACGATGGGTTCTTCTTTGTAGATTTCAAAGAAAACTCACGTTTGTTCTTAACAAAAATCCTCTGAGACAGACGAAATGGGTGTCTTTTTCTTTGTTTTTTTAAAAAAAGAAAAAATGAGATTCACATAGACCAAATTTGTACAATTATTAGATAACAGACTAAAACTAGATATTATATCACCAGATATTTATCTTGGGAAATTTAATTGTATAATAACTACCTAAGATCATTTCCCTGAATCACCAGATTTTTAAAATGGGGAGATTTTAACCCTTTTGAATTGAAAATATAGATAATTTCTCTGCATTAAATTATATGCTCATGACCAGTAATGCTGAGGATACTTATAAAATCAATTATCCAGTATTCTTTTTAATGTGCTGTGCTAGCTCAAGCTTAATAAAAAATAAAGTCCCTGATATTTATTGTTGAGCAACAGGTATGTATATGTCTTTGAATATGCTCCTTAAAATTGGCCATTAGGTTTAAAATTACTTCCCAAAATATTACTAGTAAAATGGACTGAGTCCCTGTTTCTTGTTATAATTAGCTTCCTGTTCCTGCTTTTGGATGTTATTCTCCAAAGATGAGTCAGTTTAATACATTGAGCACAAATCATGTTACTGGAATTGATCTCTCCTTAAGAACATGCAGTTGACGGTCTAGTTTTGAATAAGTTCAAATATTGCTATTAATTTCCTTAGAATCCCAACGTCTTAACTTGCAGAGAACTGCTGAATTTAATTCTGCTGAGTTTCGTCATGTTTATATAAAATTAGAGATCAAACAACAGAACTGTCTATTTTAACCAGACATGTATGGTGTGTTTTAAGCTATCTACACATTTTCTCAGTATTCTCGAGGAATCGTATAGATAGCTAGTGAGCGTAGGAACTAGAACCCAAGATTTCTGATTATAAACTCTATCCTTTTCCCATTGTACCACTGCTATTTAATCAACAGAAGCAGCTTTATAGAGAATTAATTCGCATTTCTTTGAGAAGTTTTTCTGATTATTTTTATTCCATAGAGTTTTTTTTGGAAATGAAATGTAGTACTTAAGTGTTTTCAGTGAATATCTTCATTGAAATGATGCTTTTTGCCATGAAAGAACCTCTTATTCATTTTCTATGTAAATATTTAAAACTTACTTGATTTAAATAACAAATCCTGCCTTAATACTTATAGAGTAAAAGACTCAACCAATATTCTTCTTAATTGAAGCATATTATGTGTCTAGCTAAATGGATGGAATTATTTTAATCTAGGTTTGAAAAGCCACTTACTGAACTATAAAAAGTAGTTATACTGTTGATCCTCTAATGCCATTTCTGTACATTTATCCTTAGAAAATGATCAGAAAATGCCTATAGTCATGAATGTATTCTTTGCAATATTTATGGTATTTGGGAATATTGGAAATGATTTGGATGTTCTCTGAAAGTTACTTATATGATACACATCTATTTGATGAAATTCGATGCAGCCATAGAAAAATGATTACTGTGGACACTTAGTAAAATGAAAAGTATTTAGCAAGAGCAGGTCACAGAGGAGGAGCTACGCAGACGACTGCATGAGATTAGAAAAAGAACCGTAATGTTGTTAGGATTTTCAAATTTAGTTTTACCTTCTGTGTTCCAAATTGTACAAGTTCTTATCCAGATTTGAATCACAAGATCAAATTTGTTGAAATTTTGTGTGTCAATTATATTTTGCTAATAGAATTCTATAAGAGATTTCTTTTGGGGATCAGCAGAGTCTAAAGTTTTCTTGCATTTATCAGAGAAATCAGGCCAAACCAGCCCCTCTGGCCTGTAGCTCGCACAAGTACAGGTTTTCACAAGAGATTTTTACTTCTTTACTTTTCAAAGACAAGAATAATGGGAGAACAACTATTTCAGTATATTTCTTCTGTTTCATTTCCCATGTCTGGGAAAACCTTAAGCTGGGGGGGGGGGGGGAAGGAAAGAAAGAAACAGACAACACATATTCAAAAGCATTGGACGAAATTATTTGAAGTTCAGAAAAGGGTGGCTTCAGAACAAATTCTAAACTAATTGCTAGTTACCAACTCTGCTTAGTTTCAGAATTCTCCCTTATTGCATCCCACAAGCAAGTACAAAATTGTAATAAATCATTACAATAAACCTATAATGAAATGGAATAAAATAGGGTTGTCAGTAACTTCCTAAGTCATATTTATATTCTTTTTTTTTACGTCCTCACCTGAGGATATTTTTTAATTGATTTTTTTAGAGAGAGTGGAGGGGAGGGAGCGACAAAGGGAGGAAGGGAGAGGGAGAGAGAGAGAGAGAGAGAGAGAGAGAGAGAGAGAGAGAGAGAGAGAGAGAGACACATCAGTTGGTTGCCTCCTGCATGCACCCTGATTAGGGCCTGGGATCAAGTCTGCAACCATGTCTGGGAATCGAACCCGAGACCCTTGGGTCCAGGGCTGATGCTCTAACCACTGAGAAAACAGGCCAGGGACATATTTGTATTCCGGATATCTCTCAGATTATCTAGCACAGAGTAGTTTATTCAATGATTTTTTTAAATTAAATAAATTGAATGAGGTGGTGAATAGAGTTGGCTCATTGGTAGGTATGTGGAATACAAAGCTTTAGCTAGTTTGAGGTTTCCAAATAGTACAAGATGTCATTTCTAATGTTCTTTTCAAGATGTAGCATGATGCAGATTACACAGTCCTTTCTAAAGGAAGCAGACAATAGGATATGAATATAATGGGGAAAAGATCTAAAATGAAATGTGATCATTTTATGTACACACATCCAAGAAAACCTCTGCTTTTAAAATAGTAACAGGATTCCCATTCCTCTTTCTTGCTGAACTCCAAAATAAAGTGCTCGGGTCTTTATTTGCTCAGTTGTAAAAACAGTGAAAACTAAAAACCATTTCCTTGAAGCCTGAAGCAGGAACATGAAAATGTTAAAAGAACATTCCATGTTTTAGAAGGCCCTCTTGTGGTGAAGAGGTCAAACTATCCCAAATGAAGACAGTTTTGGAAACCTGACAGGAGCAGCCACCATGACAGACTTTATTAATAATAGTAAGATTCGAAATTGAGCAAATGAATGCGAAATAATCCATTTTCACCTTTCCTCCTTGGCCCCCATGGCAAAATTGAAAGACATAAAACAAATAGGCAATAACAAAAACGAATCTTTTCCCACCTGCTTTATATAACTACCAAGTAAATATCTAATGATAAAAAAAAAAAAAAAAGCTCCTGGCAACATTTTACTAAAAAGCTATAAAATTTTGCTTTATACATTTTCACTTGAGAGTAATTTCAGATTAGCACAAAAGTTGCAAAAATAGAACTGAGTGTTCCTGCCTGTTCTTCACCCAACTTACCTAAATAGTAACATCTTACATAACCATAGAGCCATTTATAAAACCAGATTAGCATTGCTATGCTGCCGTTAGCCAATCTACAGAGCTTAATCAGGTTTCATCATTTGTCTTAACAGCATCCTTTCTCTGACTCCAGAGCTGTCCAATCTGCGCCTTTCTCTGTCTTTCATGACCTTGACCTTTTGGAAGAGTACTGGTCAGTTATTTTGTAAAATATCCTTCCATTTCAAGTGTGTCTGCAGTTTCCTCGTGATTACTTTCAGGTTATGCATTCTCAGCAGTCATACAACCAAAGCGATGGCGTGCCCCTTTTTCAGTGCCTCGTAAAAGTAGGTACTTGAACATCCTGTTACCGGCGATGTTAACTTTGATCACCTGGAGTCTGCCAGACTCCTGTACTGCAATGTTGCTATTTTTTTTTCCCTTAGTAACTAATAAATATACCGACATATTTTACATTAGGTGTTTAACATAATTAGTATCATAAATGCATTTTCCTGCTCATGGACATTCTACTGAAAAGGAGGAATTTTTCAAGCTATTTTGTTCTCTGTTTGCAAATGCTCGTTTCCCTTTTCAGCCGTGGCCTTCTCTCACCAGTCCTGCACTGTCAGTGAAAATCCTCAAGACAGATTCAACTTGTTCCATGCTGATTGACCCCCCCTTGCACTTCATAACCTTGTAGGTATGTCGAGAGTACCAGCGTGGCAATTGCAACCGAGGAGAAAGCGATTGTCGGTTTGCTCATCCTGCTGACAGCACAATGATTGACACCAATGACAACACCGTCACCGTGTGTATGGATTACATCAAAGGGAGATGCTCTCGGGAAAAGTGCAAATACTTTCATCCTCCCGCACATCTGCAAGCCAAGATCAAGGCTGCCCAATACCAGGTCAACCAGGCTGCAGCAGCACAGGCTGCAGCCACCGCAGCTGCCATGGTGAGTAGGCACACCGGCCCACTCCTTGTTAGCAAAGTGAACAAGTGTCTCTGACGACAAGCTCTTCCTTTATTAACCTTGTTTATTTATTTATTTATTTTTGCTGAAGATATGTTTGTTCAGGTATCCCAGACAATACCTAGTGCAGTTACCGTTCACAGAAGTGAGGGTAACTCCTCAAATGGTTTCACATTGCTTCTACCTTTGGCCTAACTCTTAATACTCTGTCTTACTCTGGATGGTAGGGTCTCTGACATTTCTGCTTTGTAAAGAACACCTGTCTCCTTTTCAGTTTAACGGTATTGCCATCTCTGGTGCTCTTAGGTCTGCGTGCCATCTAATCAGCCAGTGTTCTCCTTCTTCGGTGCGCTCTTCTGCACACCATGGCTCTTCTCTCTCTATATACATCTTGCTTTTAACAGTCACATAATCTGAAACTATTTAGGAGAATTGCTCCCACAAAATTGTTTTTAGCATTAGCTGCAAGATTCGAACCACGTAGGCTCTCTGGATTGTCTTAAATAATATTGTGGCATAAACATAATTGTAAAAGGAGAGATGCTTAATGATGCCATTCTCTAGAAAGGAGAAAAAGAGGCGTTAGAAATGGGATCATTTAGAATAGATAAGAAACTCTGGTCTGAAGGTAAATTTTGAGGTGATCTCATAGCTGATTTTAACGAGCCCAGTCTTTGTTCTTCGCTTAGCTATTTTAATGTTGTCCCTTTCTATACATAAATATATGACTCGACCATTAAAATAGTCTTAAAGCACAATAATCACGAGAGAGGTCTTTTCTGTGTTTGTTTATGGATACTTGAGCAAAAATACAGAAGGCTGACTCTCTCCTCTCTTCCTTTCACTTTTTTTTTTTCTGTTAGAGTATCTTGTTTGTAATTAACTACAAAGAGGAGTTATCCTCCCAATAACAACTCAGTAGTGCCCTTATTGTGCATGCTTAGTCTTGTTATTCGTTGTATATGGCATTCCGATGATTTGTTTTTTTATTTGTTTTTTCTCACCTACCCAAAAATGCACTGCTGCCCCCATGATGCACCTCTGCTTGCTGTTTATGTTAATGCGCTTGAACCCCACTGGCCCATTGCCATCATGTGCTCGCTGCCTGCTAATTAAGACTCAGTCGGCTGTCAAATCACTGAAGCGACCCCTCGAGGCAACCTTTGACCTGGTACTATGACCTTTCACCTTTTAGCTTGGCATGTAGCTTTGTTGTAGATACAAGTTTTTTTTTTTTTATAGTCAATTTTAATATATATAAATATATATTTTCTGTTATAAAGTTGCAAAGTACAATGAAAAACTGAGTGTGGTTTCCTGACAAAACTAGTGGAAAGACTATATAATCTAAGTACCTGGATGGATATCATACCATGAAAGATTCTGAAAGCCCAGCAGCCCACATTCAGTTTAACTACATTGTAGAACGTTCAAATGAAATACTTCAAGGACATTAAAATTGTAATTTTGACTGTATATTTATGTATCTCTTTGGTTAGCATGGCTTTAGCGATAGAATTATTTACTTTTTAATATTTAAAGTTCAGTGTTCAAGAAAAAAAAAAACTTGCATGCTCTGGGACATTTGCATGTCTAGGTCGAGCTGGGGGCGGGGCAGAGTGGGACCAGTTTTTATTTGACCTGTTTCATTCACTCCGTACAATTAACGATTAACATTGCTTATACTTGTCAATCCTCATGGAGCTCACAGTGCAGCTTTTCTTCTCTTCCTAAATCAGTGGCTTCTCAGAGAAAGCCCGAAGCATTATGGGACTTAAAACCCTTAACGCATTGTAACAAGTGCTCATGAACTAGTGGGGTTTTTGTTGTTTTTGTTTTTGATAAAAATAATGCTTCCTTTAAAGCTTTTATCTTGCGTTTGTTTTAAAAATTGTTTGTTTATTGGATCCGCCCCCCCCCCCCCCATGGGTAGTTAAGTGCTCTGCTGCTTGCTTGCTCATGCTTCCTAACAATTTTAGCCTTCAACTGATTTTTCTTTTTTCTTTTTCTCTTTTTACTGGTATTTGTTTTTTATACTCGTTCACTAAACAGGGAATTCCTCAAGCTGTACTTCCCCCATTACCAAAGAGGCCTGCTCTTGAAAAAACCAACGGTGCCACCGCAGTCTTTAACACTGGTATTTTCCAATACCAACAGGCTCTAGCCAACATGCAGTTACAACAGCATACAGCGTTTCTCCCACCAGGTAAGGGGTTTGAGTCTGTTTATACATGAATCAGCCAATCCACGTAGTGTCCTACTGGTAGAGCAGATAAACCAGCCGTGCCCCCAATTTGTTGTTAGTCATAAATAAGGTGGAAGGTAAGGTGCAACAGGGAGAACTTCTCGGAGGTGTCTCATGTGGTTTTCCTTAGGAACTAAGAATTAGAGCTTCATGATCCATGGATGAAAGATCAGTGATGTTTTATGTACTTATTTTTGTTTGTGCAATTTAGAATTGAAATGTAGTGCTTTTTGTTTTTTCTTTCCTCAAATGTGTTGTATGTGTGTCAGGCTACTGTATACACTTTCTGCTGTAAGACCCCTTTGCCTTCATGATTCCGTAAGAGTCCATTCGAATTCTTTGAAATGACTCCTTCAGTTTTGAGTTTTGATTTGTCAGCCCTTTTGTTCTCAAGGTGGAGAATAAAAAACTGACTGTATTCTGGGGCTCTTAAAAGTGCTCTCTTCAGTACCAATCAGTGCATGGCTTACGATCACAGTTGACCCTAAGCTAATATTGAAAGAGCTGTAAGTGCCCAGTGAAAATAACATTTCTTCTTGAGTCATACATTTGTTGATTTCAACTTAGACACATAAACACTCTAGAACTATCCACAAGGTTATGAAATTTAAAAACATAAACTAATCAGCCATTTACTGACCTGGATATTTAAGTCATTCATCTACTTCAGAAAATACATATTAATTTCCTTGTAATCTGAAATTCAACTAACCGGAGACTAAGACCATTTTCCTCCTTACCTCTTAACCTTACAAAAAAACATCACCATGGGTTCTGAGACTTATTTAATAAAGTAATTTTTATTTTTTTAGTTAAATTAATACATTTTTAATAGGTGTGTCAAAGATCCAGACCCATTTGTATATGGCACTATTGGCAGGGCATTAAGTTCATAATACCATGAGGAAATGCGATCATTTATTTTTTTCATAATAAAAAAAGAATAAATTATATTCTCATTAATTTTCACTAAGCACACTTTTTTATATTGTGCATCTTTGGAAACTGGTCATCCATATATAGAATATGTAGTAGCACTCAATGAGCTAGAATATTCCACTAACTGAAATAGCCCACGCTCGAGGCACTGTAAATAAACCATATCTGTACTCATAAAATAATATCTATCAAATTGAAGTTTGTCCACTTTCAAATTAAAATAAAACCATTTAGATCTGTAGGGTATTTTTTTTTGTATTCTGAGTTAAAAATCACATTTATCTTATATTTTATAATATTAAAACATATTCTTCAACATATGTAATTTCCCAGATATTTCTGAAATTAATCTTTTTGCTCTTGTTAAAATTGCCATGCCCCTAAATTTATGCTGTCTCCAACACAAAATCCATCAATTTTTCTATAGTCAGATCTCTAGATAAAATTTCAAAGAATTACACCTAATGCTTATCATACTATACCCACAAAAGCTTGAATTATCACATCTAAATTTGAACCTCCAGCCAATTTTCCATTGTTTCTTTTTGTCTCTCCTACTTCTTTTCCTTCTCCTTGAAGTAATTTTAACCATGCATACATCTCAGTTGTAAATTTTTTCCTAGTTGTTTTTCCTGTATTGTCATACAGATCAATTTAAAAATTTAATCTTAAAAAGTCATGTAATTAAAGTAAAGCACTCTTCAGAAACACACCATTCTGCCACGCAAATACCTTTCATAGGGGAAATTCCAAATTGACAAATACAGTCATTTAAATTTGGTCTTGTCCTGAATATCGAGGGAAGAGAATGTAATTGGCTATTTGTGCATCATTATAAGTAAATCAAACCATTTGATGTTAAAATGGACATCATGATCATTTCAAAAGTGATTTTTGTTTTTGGTAAGTGGGTCCTACAGCATTATGTCTTCATATTTGTGAGTTATTGCACCCTAGCTAGTATTTTCATTGCTGCCTTATGTTTATTTGCTGCAAACCCCTCCCCAAACTGTGTGCATTGGTTATAATGGTAATGAGGAAGATAACTCAAACTAAAATTCAAATAATAAAAGCTGCAGGGTTTTAGAGAGATAGGGTGAGGTTAACTCATTTTCAGCATGTGCAGGCTTAATTATGCATGGGGTGAAATACAGTAGGCAGACTGCAGCATAATTACAAATAAGAAATTTAAAACATGAAACCTTTGCAATATTTAAACTAGGTTTGATGTTCCGAAAATACCATGTTATTCTTTGTCACTCATCTTTTCACCCTCTCGCCCTCCCATTAGAGGATAGTGCTTTCACAGGATCTAGACTCGGTTGTACCGTATTCAGTTTTGCTTGCTCTACTGTCTCAAAGTAACGTCCCTGTTATTGCCGGTTTGTTTTGTTGTCTTTCACACGTCTTTGACTCAGTAGCTGTAGCAAGTGGCAGAGGTCTTCAGGTGTCTTAAATAATGCCTGTCGCTGTAATAGAACTCCACCCGAGAGGCTGCCTCCTGAGCTCCATTACCGAATTTAATCACTGCTCACTGTGGCCACAGTCTAATTGTGATCACAGACTCACTGCAGCTGTCCCAGGGATGCCTGTGGAGGAGTCGGTGGTTGTCAATGGCAGCTTTGTTTGGTAGCGCTGTCTCTGACAAGACTCAATTGGCAGATATTTTTCTAACAAATGTTCATCCCAGATGCTGCTAGTATGTAAATAGGATGTGCCAAGATTCAGATAGAAGTGTAAAATCATTGGAAATATTAAAATCTCAAAGTCTAAAATAATCTCATAGAAAGAACAAGGGATTCTGTTGTTGAGAAAGTGCCCTGTACTTGGCAAAATAAATTAGATTTTTTATGTTTATATGTGACAAAGAAAAAGGAATATATATGTACTGTTAATTTAACATCATGGTCGAGGAATTGTGAACATCAGTGCTAACACCGCATATGTAATGTATGTATCTTCGTTATCTCCCATTCAAGGTTTTTACTGAAGTCTAATTACCAATTTTTGTGTGTGAAATTTGCTAGAATATTTGCTATTCCAAGAAGTCCTGAGGGTCTAAACCAGCAAAGAAAACTAGTCTGTTTTCCTGGATACCAAGTAAACCAATTTGAAACATGAAAGTATCCCCTCTAAATATTCTTCCTGCATTTAAATTCCGAGCTCAGGCAGTGCAGAAATTTCACTTTCTCTTTACCCATAATTCATTGCTTGGTATCCCTCCAAATAAAATGGCCATGTGGATGATCACAAGCTCTTGCATGTCTGTGTGGTTGCTGCTACAGTGAACAGGAAAGTAAAACCAAGGGAATGAAAATGAATGTTCTGGTTTCCTTACATTGTTAAGTCAGCTTTGTGCACTGAATTATTCAGCATTTTAATAATAAATAATATGTTTAATTATTTAACATGTGCTCAATATAAAGAAAATGTTAATGAGTTCATATGTGAAAGTCAGAAATGGCAAAGCGGCAAGGTGGCTAGTCACCAGGTTAAAACGAGACAAACGGCAGTATTATTTTTAAAAGAATTAAGGTGGTTTAAATTTTCCCCCCAAATACTTGTATTTAATAAGGCAGCAATTAGGAGAAACAAAGTGTACCAGCAGACAGTTGAACTGGCTTTTATTCTTCACTCGAGACTAGTTCTAATTGATCACTGTGCTATTGTATGATTTGATTGTGCTGACAGTTACATGCCACTGTTCCCATAATAACAATTTTTCTTCTTTGTTCAAATGAATTTCCTAATTACACGTGTGATGGGATGTTTTAATTCTTTTCCCTTTCAAATCCACCTTCCTGTTGCAATGCATGATGGGCAGGCTCAATATTGTGCATGACACCCGCTACAAGTGTTGGTAGGTGCCAGCTTTGTTTCTTGATTATCTTAAACCTATGGTGCACCTCACAGCCCCTCAAAATCCACTGCTAAGTTTAACTTATATCTATTGGGCAAATCCATTTCCCTTTTACTAACACCTGTCAATTAAATGTCATTTTCTATTTAATTGACATGGACTCACATAAATGTTTTCTTTACACACAACTTTCCTTTAGTCACCTTTGGTGGATTTTGATTGGACTATGAGTTCTAGTGTGTAAAAAAATCTATCTCATAAAAGTAATATATTGTATATTTTTATAATAGTAAATAAGAAAAATTACTTTCATTCAGTTAACTGTATATATATATGAAGTAATTACCTGTATGTTGACTTAGATTTAGAATGTCTATGAACACTATATAAAATTCTTGTTTGTGACTTAGCAAAGTTAGCCTGTTTGTGTCAATTTTCTTAATTTGATGGTAACAAGCTTTTTTTTCCCCTTTTTTTTTCTCTTTCATCTCCCTTCCCCTTCTCTCCTTGGAATGTTGTCCTGCTTTGCGCTGTGATTGCATGTCACTCGCTGGTGATGATGTCCCGTCACATGGCTTATTGCTGTGATAAATACCATACCCAATTATCTCCTCCATGTTGCCATGGTTTCCATATTGCTACACTCTTCTGTATGTTTGCTTATATGATTTTCCCTCCGAAAGTTCCCATGGTGCACGGTGCTACGCCAGCCACTGTGTCCGCAGCAACAACATCTGCCACAAGTGTTCCCTTCGCTGCAACAGCCACAGCCAACCAGGTTTGCTAATTTACAGCTTTGTTTCTTAAAAACCAACTCTGATAGGGCTCAATGCTATAGCCCTTACGCACGGGGATTTCCCATTGAGGTCAGTGGGAATCGTGTGTACGTGAGGGCTGTCGTGGGTGCTTTAATAGCATGGGGTTTCAAAGATTCCTCTTGTTGGCCTACACATTCTCTCTACGATGAGCAGCAGAATGCTTTTTTGCCATTTATAAGTGCTCCAAAGTTGTCGCAGCTCCATTTCTAAAGCTACTAAAATTATATTTACACAAGCAATTCTCATTTGGTCTCAACCAAACATGCAGGTATTTTGACTGATCAAAAAATGTAGCTAATTTTAAGGTTTTATTATTATTAAAATCTGGTACGTACAATTTCTCAGTTCTTGCCTAAATTCTTAATATAAAGCACAATATTTAAATATCTAACATATGCCACAAAGAAACACTCTTGTAAATTGAGTTTGTTATAAATTTGTTAAAGTTTTGTTTGTTAAGCAGATTGCATATTCAAAATAGATTAAATTCATGTTCACATTTTGATTCTTAGTTCTTTAAATGGAAAAAAAATTTTTTTTTATCATTGCCCACCTTAAATCTTGGGGAGTTATGAAGGAAAAAGACAATCAATTCTGTGTTCCATACACGTTATAGAATAACAATTACACAGGTTACTTTTAAGTAAAAGGGATCTGTTTCAGAAATTTAAATTTAATGGTATACGAGAATGACTATGTTTTAAATATATTTTATGGATTTTTTTACAGAGAGGAAGGGAGAGGGACAGAGAGTTAGAAACATCAATGAGAGAGCAACATTGATCAGCTGCCTCCTGCACACTCCCTACTGGGGATGTGCCCGCAACCAAGGTACATGCCCTTGACCGGAATCGAAACTGGGACCCTTGAGTCCGCAGGCTGACGCTCTATCCACTGAGCCAAACCGGTTAGGGCGAGAATGACTATTTAAAAGAGAATGATTATTTAAATATTTATAATTTAAAAATTGACATTGATTCAATGAGCATTGTCATTGAATCAAATTTATATAAAGTAGGTTTTGGCTTGAATATCCAGATATATTTGTTATGAAAGCAAAGTTCAGTAAGGTTAATAGCATATGAAAAAATTTAGAGCCAAATCAAATTTCATATAACCCACAGACTAAGGTTAAACGTAGCCAAGTGAATCTCCAAAGAGCCTGTATGAGATGAGAATCAACATGTTGCCCTTTGGGAAAAGAAGACCAATTAAGTGCCATTTGAATATATAGTTATTGCTATGAGGAATAGCCACCCTTATTTCTACAACACACTGTATTCTGTTGAAGAACTAAAAACTATTAGGATAGCCATTGAAAATTCAAAAGCAGTATAGGGATGCATCTTAAAGATTCCCACAAGCTTTAAACATTTCTTGGCAAAGACCATTCAGTAGTTTTCCTGCAGCTTGTCAAAATAGCCCTGGATATATGCTAACACATCAGACTCATTTACAAGAATGCTAGATTGTGCATATGTAGCATGTGAGTAAGTAATCTATGGCAGACATTTCTTAATGGATTCAGTGCAATCCATTTATGGGGTAGATCGATGATGCCAAATTCTCCTGTGTGTACCATGCATGACTGTAGAATTGCTGGTGTAAGCAGAACTATAGCAAAGCAAATTCCAACATGCCCTTGGCCACCTGGGTTGTAGGGGACACTTTACTTTTTTTGCATTGTGCTGTGACCATTTCATGCATAATCTTGGGTCTTCATACTGTTTTACAACCAAAAGAAAGACAAGGGAATGGATATATATATACACACATATATTATATCTACATATACATACATATGTATATGCCTACAGTACATTAGCGATGCTGGAAATAGCTGATGCCACAAAATGCAGCCTGCATGCTTGCAGAAGTTTATAGCTGGCCCTTCATCTGCATCGAGTGGTGGTGTTGAAGGTCCTTGGTATGTTTCGACAGCCCCATCCCTGATGCTTCTACACTGTTGGGTGCAACATCCTGTCCTGCAGCAGCAGGAAAAATGGTATGAGAAGCTTCATTATGCTTGGAGCACATTTTCGTGCCATTTGCCAATGCTGTAAAACTGTGTAAAGGTGTCAAGCTGAAAAATGGAAATAAAAGTGAGACCTATTAATTCACACTCCAGACGGTGGATTGTAATATGTTGCCTTAGCCTAGGACCTCTAAATTGAAACAACAACGAAAATACCTTCATGTATGTGATCTCACTATCCTCCCACCAACCTTGCTGTGACATGGGATTCGTGCCAGTTTGTAGGTGACGAAACTTAAGCAGAGAGTCATGAAGGGCTTTGCTCAAGGTTACGCGGTAGGAAATGGGTCACTAGTGTTAGAGCCTGTGCTTCCAGTCCTCTGAGAGTCCTCGCCTCTGGTGCTGCCACTCCTGTTAGCAGCTGTAATTCTGCGTTGGGGGAGAATCAGGCTACATATTGGAAGCTCTTGGCTTTGGGGACTATTGAAATAAGTCACCTCTCTATTGGTTTCTTATTATATTTTCTCTCAAGATTTTTAATTCTCTTGCCCATTTATAATACAAAAAAAAAAAAGAGGTGCAATCAGGATTCAGAAATAGGTTGTGATGTAAATTTATGCTCTTACCCAGTTCTCTTGAAGTACGCCTCTGTAATTCCTACCCGGTATTTTAAATTGGAAAAGAAGTTAGATCCCATAAGTTGAACCAAAGAAAATGTTAGAAATTGGTTGCACAAAAGTAGGCAAGACATTTTCTACTTTGCTGTTTGGATTACTGAATAACTCAAACCACAGGGGTGTGGGTGTGTGTGTGTGTAGGCCAACAAAAAGGGCTTCTTTTAATTACTGCTCTGCATGAATTTTTGATAGTTTTACTTCTCTTACTTCTTAAAATCCGATAACATTGGTAGAATAGTATTTAACACAAAGATTTTAAAACTGAGTTGCTACTTTGACATTATGTTTACGTTAACTTACTGTTCTGTTGACCAGATAAGGACTGTCACCTGAGAGCTGAATGTCACTTTTCTTAAGAAATTTAATATTGAAATGTTTTCATCTCTTGATTGTTGGCTTGCTTGCATGGATCATTCATTAAATAATTTTTTATTTGCTAGATACCCATAATATCTGCCGAACATCTGACTAGCCACAAGTATGTTACCCAGATGTAGAATTTTCATCACTAAACAGTAAGTTTGTTATGTGATACATTGTATATATTCATGATGGTATTTTTTAACGATAGCATCTATGTAATGCATTTAAGAAAATGTTTGCAAACTTTCAGAGAAAGCACTTATGCAGAGCTCATATTTTTATCTTAGATGGGTTATGAGGGATTTTATCATACAAATTTGTAATATGTTTATATCACTTAAATACACATAATACTTAGGGAAGATAAATTTTGTTTTTAGTTTATATTAGAAATAAACCACAGGCCTGACGAAAAAATATGACTTAAATCGATCAGGGGCTAGCAAACTTTTTCTTAAAAGACCATAGTAAATATTTTTGGCTGTGTGTGCCACGTGGTTTCTGTCCCCACTCTTTTCTGTTCCAGCTACTCAACTCTGCAAGAAACAATATGTAAGCGAAAGGGTGTGGCTCTGTTCCAATAAAACTTTACTTGCAAAAATAGGTAACATACCCTGACCGGTTTGGCTCAGTGGATAGATCGTCGGCCTGCAGACTGAAGGGTCCTGGGTCGGTCCCAGTCAAGGGCATGTACCTTGGTTGTGGGCACATCCCCAGCAGGGGGTGTGCAGGAGGCAGCTGATCAATGTTTCTAACTCTCTATCCCTCTCCCTTCCTCTCTGTAAAAAAATCAATAAAATATTTTTTTTTAAAAAAAAAATAGGCAACAAATAGGCTGTATTTGGCTCACAGGCAAGAGTTTCCTCATCCCTTTTGTAGATCCTCATTTTTTGGAGGGTGTGGGGGAGTGTATATTCTTAAATGAGAACATGCTTCACCTCACAGTATCATTAGAATGCAAACAGTGTGACTTTAAATAAATTTATATAGCCCCTTGGCAATGGGCAAGGAGACACCTGTTTGGTTGTGGTGCTCTTATATCAGTCAGGGGCAAAGCAGAGGTACAATTCTTCGTTCATCCTAGCTTGATGCCTGTGTTGGTGGCCGGATTGCTTCATGCCTGAGGCACATTAAAAAAAAAGAAAGAAATATATACACACACTCATATATATGCATACACACATCTAAACATCCAAATGAGCTCTAGGTACTTTGAAATAGTCACCTTGGCAGATCATATAATTTCTGAAAATGTTGCCATTGTTCAAGAATGATGTGAAAGTCTTGTGGCTTGTCTTCAGACACACTGACTTAGATACTTTGCAAAGGTGGTCATTTTCCATGCTTAAAGGATACGCATGTGTTGTTGTTTCAGTATGCATGCATCCAAGTTTGCATATATGCTCAGAAGCACATTAGGTAATTATGTTTATATTTTAAAAGAGCCATAACATTTAAAACTGCCTCTGGTGAATAAGATGGGTGATCATTCTCTGTTGCTTCCTTTCATTCATTTCTCTTCATTAACACATTTGCAAGTGACTTTTTGGTGCTTCTATGTGTTAATGACCTTGTCAATGAGATAAAGATGAATAGGCAAGGAGATCAAGATGTACATTTCAGCACACTGTATTAAAATAAGAAAGGTTTGAATAAACTTTTCTTGGAACAATGATAAAGGAGCAACTCTCCCAACAGAGTCAGAAAGTAAGAGAATTTGGACAAAGAAGGTGGCCGCAGAGAGAAGAGAGGAGATAGGGGCCTCACAGGAGAAGGGACAGAGTGCCCTGTCAGGAGACGGCAGGGAACCAGTTCAGAGGCCCTTGTGATAATTACCCAAAATGAAGGCTAGCAAAGGCTGAGCCCATGCAGAGGAGGATAGAAAATATTTGGGAGCGATTTAAGAAAGAAAGGAGGGACTCTGTATGAGAAGTACTACCAAAGACATGCTACAGTCATGAAGTAAATGACTGAAAATGGTTTTGTCTGTTTCATAAGCTCTCTCTATGCAGTTCTGATAATAAAGTTTATTATTCTGAACAATAGCCACATGCTTGAATAAGCATATTAATTTGTAGTATGTAGGTTTGGAAGAAGAGTTCTTTTTACATTAAAAAATCTGTTTCAAGCTTTTATAGTCATTTGGAAATATATATATATATATATATATATTTTCATTCTATTTCTTAGCAATAATCCAGGTTGCAAAAAATACCAAATGACCTTAAGTCCAGCACTTAGCAAACCAGTGGATTTGTCTGTATTGAAGCTTAGGCTCTTCGTAGTATACTAGAGGCTTGGTGCATGACATTTGTGCACTGGGGGGGAGGGCGCCCTTCAGCCTGGCCTGTGCCCTCTTACAGTCCAGGACCCCTTGGAGGATGTCCGCCTACCAGCTTAGGCCCACACCCTTAGGCCCACTCCCAGTAGTGGGCCTAAGCTGGCAGGCGGACATCCCCCAAGGGGTCCTTAGTGTTGCTGTACTCACCAGCCTGGCTTCTGGCTGAGCAGTGCTCTCCCTGTGGGAGCACAGTGACCACCAGGGGGCAGCTCCCATGTTAAACGTCTTCGCCCTGGTGGTCAGTGCGCATCATAGCGACCAGTTGTTCCACCATTTGGTTGATTTGCATATTAGGGTTTTATTATATAGGATTTATATAACAAATGATTGGTTCTTTTCATGAGTTGCAATATTTAAACTTTTTTAAAATATATTTTTATTGATTTCAGAGAGGAAGGGAGAGGGAGAGAAAGATAGAAACATCAATGATGAGAGAGAATCATTGATTGGCTGCCTCCTGCATGCCACCTACTGGGGATCGAGCAACCCAGGCATGTGCCCTTGACCAGAATCAAACCTGGGACCCTTCAGTCCCCAGGCCAACCCTCTATGCACTGAGCCAAACCGTCTAGAGCTAAACTGGTTTTGAGTGCAGCAAAATGGTGGTTTCTTTCATTCTCAAGGTTGTATTCTAAAGTATGCTTTTAATATGTGAAGACTCTCTGATGAGAACAAATTTTGTATAAAAAACAGATCTACTTACAAGTACAATCTATTTCACTTAAATTTGTCAGGAACTTGAGGAATGATATTACCTTTTCTTGGCTGTAGGAAAAAAAATTGCTCCAAATGTTAAATGATCCAAAATAGTTAAAAGTATTATTCTTTTTTCCCTCTAAACACATAGTGTGCTAATCAAGCACCCAAATACAGATGCTCCTCGACTTATGTGGGATTCAGTCCCCCTAAGCCCATTATAAGTTGAAAATGCATTTAGGAAACCTCACCTATGCAACATCATAGCTTAGTAGCTGGTTTCTACTGAGTGCTTAGCATTCCCGCATCAGTGCAAAGTCAAAGAAACGTAAGTCAAGCCCATCCGTAAGTCAGAGACCATCTGTAAGTCAGAGACCATCTGTAAGTCAGAGACCATCCGTAAGTCAGAGACCATCCGTAAGTCAGAGACCATCAGTAAGTCAGAGACCATCAGTAAGTCAGAGACCATCCGTAAGTCAGAGACCATCTGTAAGTCAGAGACCATCCGTAAGTCAGAGACCATCCGTAAGTCAGAGCCCATCTGTAAGTCAGAGACCATCTGTAAGTCAGAGACCATCCGTAAGTCAGAGACCATCTGTAAGTCAGAGACCATCTGTAAGTCAGAGACCATCTGTAAGTCAGAGACCATCTGTAAGTCAGAGACCATCTGTAAGTCAGAGACCATCCGTAAGTCAGAGACCATCCGTAAGTCAGAGACCATCTGTAAGTCAGAGACCATCCGTAAGTCAGAGACCATCCGTAAGTCAGAGACCATCTGTAAGTCAGAGACCATCTGTAAGTCAGAGACCATCCGTAAGTCAGAGACCATCTGTAAGTCAGAGACCATCTGTAAGTCAGAGACCATCCGTAAGTCAGAGACCATCCGTAAGTCAGAGACCATCTGTAAGTCAGAGCCCATCTGTATAGTGAATCGTGTTTAATAGGGCTTGTTGCATGGATCTTAATTTTGTAAGCCAAAGCGTTACTCTTGAAACCTATTGACTTTAGCAGAGAAGTAAAATGAATTTAAATTCTGCCCCACTGTGATAGTGCTAAAAAAGAGCTCCGCTATGTTTTGTCCTTTGATTCTGCAAATTTGTTTTACACTTTTAGCTTAGCCTTTGAGAAGAGTCTAGAATTTCACAAAACTCTGCCTGTCATTGTATCCTCATAGAGAAGGTCAGCAAATTTAGATCCACTTGTGCAGTGTTTCTTGTTTTTAAATGAAGATGTTATAATGTGCATGCATTCACACTAACTCAAGCACTATAATTAATATAATTTTCCTAGTAAGTATGTATTGGAAACTGTTTTGAGATGTCGCCTGTTTTAACAAAAACTCTGTCTTTTTTCCCTTGTAGATCATACTAAAAAGGAAAGGACAGTGTGCTTGGTTAGAGTAAAGGACGAGGTCATTAGCCATATTGTATATACCGTCCAGCAACCCCCACAAAAACCCCTCAGCCACAAGACATCCACATATTGCATGTTAACCAGAAGAGAAGACAACATGGAAACCCACTGCACACTGTTGCCTATACACTTTGTACATTTAATTGATATTCGTGCTGAGGTGATATACCTGTCTCTAAAAGAACAACATCGTCTTTCTTTTCTAGCACAGAGTTATGCATTAAAAGATGCATACCTAATTAGTTTCCTAATAGATTCATGCCATCTTGAAAAGACAGACTATGGTGTAACCACGATTCTCTTATGTATTGGTACGTCTGTAGACCAAGGTATAATTTTTTAAAAATAAGTTTATTTCTTTCAAGGTTTACAAATAACAAAGGTGCACCTTGTATTTAAAATTGCCATTAGAGGTGAGAGCGTGCATGCACAGTCATTTTTGTTTAAGAGTAATATTTTTAATGTAATAGATTGTAAGATGCGGCGAGGGAGGGATCTGACAGAGATGAATGTGCCAAGCAAAACCACAACTGTGTATCTTTTAAAGCACATCATGGCTTTAAGTACCATGTTGTAAAGGATTCTCATGAAGTGCCATAGACTGTACATCAAATTAGAGTATTATTTCTTCAGTGTTATTGTTTTCAGAGCCACCTTTTGTTGCTTATTTGCTAGTACTAATCAGTCAAAGGGCACCATTCTTTTTTTTCTTTTTTTTTTCTTTTTTTTGGAAACCAAAGCTGTCTCAGAAATGGCCAATGTAACCACAGTAACAATAGAACAGCACAACACAATTTCTCTCAATACAGATAAACTCACACATACTGGAGATATATATAATAGATTATATATATATATAATTATTTTAATGCATTGTAGTGTAATATTTATGCATATTATACTGTCTAACATGATATTCAAAAGGGATATGCCATTTCTGAGACACGATAACAAAAAAAAATGTTTGAGGAAATTATTTTGCTTCTATTTATAGCTCTGTCAAAGTCAAAAGACTATAAATGCTTTGCAAAAATGGTTCCACATTTGCTTAAATGCTTCACCACAGTCACGTTGAAAATAGTGACTCTAAACAAAGAAGAAAGCAGCACTGTCATCAGATGCATGATAAACCAAAATATGAAAACGGGAGGTGTTTCATTTACCTAGCAATCGGGTGGGTTACATACTTGGGGGGATTTTATATGTGATTTCTTTTTTTGTTTGTTTGTTCAGATTAACTGCTTATAGCCTTAGAAAGCCTTTTACAAAATTATAAAAAAAAAATAGATGTGCATTCAGTTTTTAAGAATGGATTCATCCAAAGGAATTCCCTTTTTGTGGTTTGGGTGTTGCAGCTAGTAAGGGTATTTTTGCTCTGGTCAGCAGTTCTGCCAGCTGCTGAAGTAGGGGCCAGGTCACTGGTAGTTATAGTGTGGAATGGGAGAGGTGAAAGTTCAGTTGTAGAACTTTCCATACTTCCAAGTTTACTGCAAGTTTTTATGCTTGAGAGAGATGCTTTCTAATATAAGACTGATGTGTTGATTTTACTGATTGTACTGTACATCTATTAAAGCCTTAGATTATTACATTACGGGTTGGAACCCATACCAATGTAATTTCAATCGTGTTAAGAGAGTAATGGTGACTTCACATGTTATTGTAGTTAGTTACATTATAGAATATTACTTATTTTTCTTGTTAAAATGTAGTTTTTCATTTCCTACACTTATTAGATTTCATTTTGTATTAACAATTGAATACCATTTCAGTTTATAGACTCTTGTTTTATTAGATTTTACTGATGAATTTTTCAAAATACAAAAAAAAAACTTTAAAGTAGTTTTTCCTTCATAACATACTCAGTTTTGAATTACATGTAGTGTCATATGAATATTCGTATTATTGTTAACTAAATGATTTATATTTTACTGATTTAATATTAAAGTGTAAGAATGTCAGTCATTGTTAGTTCTTGTCTAGTTTTCATTAAAAGAACAAAGATCTTTTATATGGATATCTTATAAATATATAATCATTGCTAAGTAAGAAGTTAAGTTGTTGCTATCGCAACAATCCTGGCAGACAATTGAGTAATATTTTGATGATTTATTTTGTTTGTAATTAGTTATTATAAGAGGATCTCTAGAACCTAGATATTAGAATAAAATTTATTTTCTACTGTATCCATTTCAAATGTTAAAGTATTGTTTAATATTTTTGAAATCCCTGAATATCAGGCCTTGTTATAAATAAGCTGCATAATCAATAAATAGAACAAGGGACTTTTTGTTGATAATCCAAATACTCAAAGTTTACGTAATGAGAATTAAAGCGTGTGTGCAAACTCTTGAGGGTTGATTATGCTGCAATTGAGCATGTTGGGACGTCTAGAGAGAAGGTTGACTTTTTGCACTTCTGTATATAGTCAAAAGAGAGAAACCTGTATAATAGTAAGATCTTATTTTGAATAAAAACGTCTATAATTACAAGGAGTTTTGTTAAGGCTAATAAAATGAGACTGAGCAAAATTGCTTGCAAAAGTGGCACCGAGTTAGCACTCCGTACCCCTTCAAACATTTGCTTTGCTTTTTGTGGACAGCTTGTAGTTTGCCAGGATTTTTTCAGCTGGAAAGATAGGCCATCCTTCCGAGATCTCATGACTGACAAAAACTCCACTGGGCCAAATCTGCCTGAAGACCATTACCAAAAATAGCAGGTACTTCAACCATTAAGGTGAAATCATGGATCAGATATTCCTTACATTTTTCAAAACTACTGCATGTTTAAAGCTTCAACGACAACAACAAAAAGGAGAGAAAGAACTATACTAAGGACGTATTATTCTAATCAGTTTCTGCCAATTTCAGTGGTTTATTGTTCACACGCGCACACACACACACACACACACACACACACCAATCTTCAAAACAAGTAATGACTTTCACAAAATTGAAACTATAAACAGGCAAACCAACAGCACAGTGTAGCTCTAGTTGTTCTGTGATTGTTTTTTAATTGCTGTAGCAAGCCTGTTCTTTCAGCAGGTGAAAAGGTAAAACACAGTTCAAAGTTCATGGTTCTAATTTGCAACTCAGAAGCACTCAAAAAGTGAATGTGGTCACGGGCACTTGTTTAAGGAATCTGTGTAGCCAGCCCTCGCTCCCGCTGGCTCCCGCGTTGCACTTACCGGAAACCCCACCCCTTTCATCTGCTGACAGGACAGATGTGCTTGCTTTTACTCTTATGTAATCACAACTTACTTTCTGCTTGTAGTTGCTTACAATTATGTATTTTGTCTTGGGCTGCGATTTGTTTTACGCTTCTTTTATTATTACCGCAGTAGTTGACTTTGCTGTATGGAAAAATAAAGTGAAATTGCCCTAATAAAACTTCTCTTTCTTAAGTATCTTTGTGTCTCTGAGATTGAAGAGTAAATTTTTTTTTTGCGCCTTTCACATACATGTGTGTGTGTGTGTGTGTGTGTGTGTGTGTGTGTGTGTGTGTCTGTCATTACGAACGCATCGTTATGAAAATTCATCATCCGGTTTTAACTGACCGCAAGGAAGGTGATGCATCACTGTCTTTCTCGCTGACCCTCCTTTGATACCAGAAATGAGAATGTGAATCCTGATGTGTTGCCATCCCATGCCCATCGCTTCTTGGGAGATCTTGCCCTCCCCTCCCCTGACACTCTAAGTGCCCTGTGGTAGGACTTCAGGTGTAGCGGGGAAACTATAAGAGAAAAAAGAAATTGTCTTATTCATTCTAGATCGCTGTCTTTCTATTAAAGACACTTTACTTGCCCGACTCCCCCAGGAGTCTACTAACACTGGAAATCAGGCAATTTAAGAGAATATTTCAATAAAGACAGAGTGATTACACTTAATTTAGAGGGACAAGAGAGTTCACACACACACACACACACACACACACACACAGCTGAGCCAAGGCATGACATAACTCACTCTTTTTAAAATATATATATTTTTAATTGATTTCAGAGAAGGGAGAGGGAGAAAGAGAGAAATATCAATGATGAGAATGATTGATCGTTTGCCTCCAGCATGCCCTCCACTGCGGATCAAGTCTGCAACCCTAGCATGTGCCCTGACCAGGAATTGAATCATGACCTCCTGGTTCATAGTTCAATGTTCAACCACTGAGCCACACCGGCCAGGCCATAACTCACTCTTGATAGTGCCTGTGTGTGTGTCTGTGTGAATTTTTTAAAGGGTGAATTAAAAACTTGGTTGCACTGAGGCCACGTTTTCCATATGGTGTTGACTTTCTGTTTCCAGAGACAGCCAGTGAAAGCCAGAGTTGCAATGTGGAGAAATGTTCTAATTTGATCAGATAGTGCACTCTCTGTGACTGTGCCGCTTGGTATTTGGTCAAAGCTGCAAATTCTCCTTGCAGGTCAATGATCTTCTAAACGTGCAATAATGTTATATTGTGTGATATTTATAATTAATACAGTTCTGTTCCTGGTTGAGTTCTAACGAACATTCCTGTTATCCTGAGTAGACCCAACTACTCAAGGTGCTGCTTATCAACAAGAGAGCAGCTGCCCTAAGTGATGGTTCTCTAAAGCTGGGCTTTACAGCTTTTTTTTTAGTGTCACAGCAAAACATCCGGCTCTCCAATTAGTGGCAGTAACTTTGATATCTTTCTTTTAACAATGTCCTAATATTTTCATGTTAAGTGCATTTAATTTTATTAATCACAACATATACATGCATTTGAAAATGGTGTTGAAATAGGCTCCAGACGCTTCGTGTTCAGAAGGAGTTATTACTACGGTGACCACTAGGGGTCCTCAAGTCACAGGACGGGAGTGTGTTTTGGAAGTCTAGTTTCTTCTTTGGGAAACAGTATCATTTGCAAGAGCTATTATTTCATTACAGACCCTTGACCCTCACAGAGGTCCCACTTTGGAAAGACCCTGAAGGTCAGTGACACACGGCCATCTATTGTTTCACTGAGGCACACTTTTGAAGAGTAGCTTCCTTCAAACAGCAAACAGCCACTTAACATGTACCTGTTAAGTGGGACACTCCGGCAAGATTTTGTTACTTCTTTAATTGTTATTACTCTGTTCCCTGGTGAGTCTGAGGCAGTTACTCTAATATTGGAGGTAGTCTATATGTTCTGGAAAAATGTTATAATATTGTTCGAGAATTTGGAAACTTTTGAAAGCCTAGAATACACCCACTTTAAATGTTCAAAGTCTATTAACATCAGGACGAGCTCCAAAAATGTGAAATACAGTGATTCAAATGCCCAAGGATTGTTTAGAGTTCTCTTGATCTGTCCAAAAGATACTGGGCCTCATGGAAATGATTAAAGCAGTCATCGCCGACCATGGCCCAGCCTCCGGCACATCCTTCTGGCCATGGTTGGTCCTCACAAGGAGCCGGCCCTAGATGGGGCTGTGGCATCGGCAGCACTTGGGGTGGGTGGTGAATCTAAAGCTACCTGCGGAGTGTGGCTGTGTGAGTCCACGCATGCCCCAGAGTCCCCCTCCAAACTTCTCAGGAGTTGGACTTCATTTGGACCCACTGGGTCCTGTGTGTTCTGATCCCCAGAAGAGCAAAAGCCAGATGTGTGCTGGGGCTGACCAAGGCCTGGGGTTCAGGAACTCTCCTCCTTCACCCTCTGTAGCTCCCTCAGTGTTGTTTGCACCTGCCCTGGACACGCGTCATCCTCAGCTGCCCTGTCCTACCCCAGCCCGGTGACCTAGGTCACCAAGGGGACAGGACTGACTATCTCCTTTTTGTCTTCTGAGGAATCAGGCCCTCAGTTCTCTCCCCTTTTGCTACCTGAGCGTTTTCTTTGTTCATGTAATATTTTACCTTTGCTAATTAAATGCGGGGAAGTGTGGGGTGGGGATAGCCTGCTCTTGAATTTACCATTTTAAGAAAAAATAGCCGTGGCAGTTAAAACACCGATGAAATCTGTTACTACTAGTGACTTATTTAGGTCTTTCAGAAATGACTTACAGAAGCAAGAATGATCAGTTGTTGTTTTTTCTCTCCCCAGTTGGGTTTCATAATGACAAAACAGAATTCTTTTTTTGACAGATAAAGAATAAACCAGGGGGTTTATGCACGGTGGTTGGGAGCCTCCCGGTTGCTATGTAAATTCTAAGTGCCACTCTCCCTCACGTTGGCCCCTGGGGTCAGCCTGGGGTGCTCAGCACCTGAACTTGGAACTGAGAAGAGCTCCGTGGCCGGGTTAAGTTGCAGCTTTGGGTGGGCTTGTGTGATTTCACTGCACTGAGCACAATCTTGCCCGAGAGAAACTGTAACTATTGCAACAAATGCCTAGGCCATGGTCATGATGAACACACCTCAAGTCCAAGCTGCAGAAGAAAACATGCTTCCTGGGAGGGCCCCATATCTGGGGGACTCCTCAGGCCCAATGCCCCGCTTAGTAAATGTGCCCTCGCACTAAACAGTTGCTATAAGGGGGTTAAAGGATGAGTGATATCCTGCCACAAGTTCTAACTAAAAGGTAATCGCTTGGACCTTGATAACTATGACCAAGATTGTCCATTGCAGACAGGACACCCAAGTTCATAATGGACTTAGAAACCAGCGGTGATGGTGGCTCTGAAGGCCTGGAAATCAGTGAGCAGTCCGCAGAAGTACACACTGAACTTAAACTTAGAGCAATGACGGGCCGTCGAGACAGACATTTAGCCAAGCAGACTTCCCAAGTTCATTTACAATGACACACAGCTCATGAGTCTGGAAGAGATGATCAGCTTACTCTTGCCCAGTCATAGAGTAAGAGTGGCAAAGCTAAGCAGAAAACCTAGACCCTGGAAGTCCCATAATATGACATAACTTTAAGTTGAAGATGAAGGTAGAAAGACATATGAGGAATTAGAAGCCTGAGCAGAGGCTGAACAAAAGAAGCCTTAGTAATTGTCATGGAGCAGTCAAACCCTGGACACCAGGGCCTCACCATAGGAAGAACCGCTCTGCTCGCCCTGCTTTGCTTCACCCCTGTCTGGGCCCCTTCCTCTTTCACAACTTCAACCACTGGTGTGTGGGCTCTGAGATATAGCAAACTGGTAACATCTGGGAGGAGGGGCTAAGGAATTGGGGCCGAGGGAAGGGCTGGTTATGACAACTTTGTGCACAGTAAAGATAGGTACTGCCCAGGGAGACAAGTATCCCAGATAGAGGTAGGAACCAAACCGCATAGGAATAGGCTATAACTTCTTAAAATGATTATTTTTTAAGACATGCATTGAAAATGTCCTTCAACTCATAAATGTCTAGGCTGCTCACTAGAAATGGCACTGAAGCCCGGGAGCCACTGGGTGGGTAAGATCAAGGGTTCTGGAATCAGACCACCTGGATTCATTTCTCAGCTCTTCGACCTTGGAAACTTCTGACTCAGTTTCCACCCCGAGAAGATGGAAATAGTAATGCGAGTATGTACCTTGCAGGACCGTTGAGTGGTTCCCAGTCTCTGCTGCAGATTGGAATTACCTGGGGGATTTTTAAGCATTATCGATGCTTGGTCCCTAACCTAACACATTCTGATTTCATTGCTATGAAGGCAACCACTGGGTTAATATAAGAATAAAGTGCCTAGAACAGTGCCTGACATATAGCAAGCAACGGACACATATCAACTATGATTGCTATTTTGTCATTACCCATTTTGCTAATTACTGCACTTAATCTTCAATTTTCATCCTAGTTCTTGGGTTACACATCCCTTTCAAAGCAGCCATATCCACACTATCTCTGTCTTTCCTGTTCAGCAGTGATATTTTTTTCTCCCTGTAATTTGCCACCACAACAGGTCCTGCTCATTGCTGCACATGTAGTGAATATCTCAAAAGTAGAACAAAGTCCTTCTGACTCACTCTGAAAATGTTTATTTCATGTTCCTGCATGGTATGATCACAGACCACAACCCATGTCAAATTGAAAGTGACTGTTTGAATGTAACCAAGATTAACTAGTTGAATTCCCCTTTTATTTCAATTGTGCTCAAGAACAAATAATAGAACAGATGCAAGCATCATCATGAAAACTGTGCTGTTAAAGTATTTAAAGTATGTTATTATATTTATTGAAATAATATTTCTAATTACATTGGAGCAGCACTGATATACTTCCATACAATATTTTATCATAGGCTTTTTTAGGTGCTTGTATTAGCACTGACTCAGTTCCATAAACACATTAAAAATCGAGTTTCATGCCAGGCACCATGCTAGGCTCTGGGAAGATAGAATGGCAAGAACTGCTCAGAGTAATGGCTATAAAAAGATATATAGAACACTGAAAACCCACTGAGGTAGTATTTCCAACCTCTCACACTTGTCCCAAACCCTTTAAGTATGACACAAAACAATTAGAATGCGATTAAATGAAAACCACC